GAAGAGAAGAGAAGAGAAGAGAAGAGAAGAGAAGAGAAGAGAAGAGACCAGACGAGAAGAGAAGAGAAGAGAAGAGAAGAGAAGAGAAGAGAAGAGAAGAGAAGAGAAGAGAAGGACGAGACGAGACGAGACGAGACGAGAGGAGACAAGACAAAACAAGACCAGAAGAGAGAAAAGAGGGAAGAAACCAGAAGGGAGAAGAGAAGAGAGGAGAGGAGAAGAGAGGAAAGAGAAGGGAAGGGGAAGGAAGGGAGAGAGGAGAGTGTGTCCATTTGTATGGAAGTGCACAATCCTTCAACAATCATCACAAATCTACCATAATTATAATCTTACAATCTCACTATCAAACTTAAAACCAGAACTTCCTCTCCACATGCCTAAATTCCCGTCTCGAGGCTTCTCCCCTCTGAGGTTCCCATCATCCCCTGCCTGAGCTGGCCCGGAAAACTTAAAAGTAGCAACGGAACGAACAAGTTTCGTGTCGTCCGTTTCAGAGCCTGTTCTCTTCAAAGTCAGCCTCCATTGCCTCTTTTTTGAGCGTTCGTCTCGAAGCACGGGAAGGAGAAAAGATTAGGCGGGGGACGGTGAAATTTGAACTCAGGACCTTACCTGGCAAATTCTTGCTGACGATGGAACCGCCGGCTTTCGTCGCAGTCTTCCTTCGGCCCAAATTTTTTTGGGGAAAAAAAATAATATCCTTCTTGCTCTGTTCCAGAGCAGCTTTTTTAAAAACAAGTTCTGGCTGACCGCTTTGCAAGAAATCTTTTTATCCTCTTCACTGAATCCACCGGCTTTCCTTTCCATGCCTCGCTTGTCACAACCTCACAATTATCTTCTTAACCACTAACGAGAGAGAGAGAGAGAGAGAGAGAGAGAGAGAGAGAGAGAGAGAGAGAGAATGAGAATTAAGAAGCACAGTAATGGAAACAGGATTTCTTCCCACAGATAAATCTCAAAACATTGCAGAAAAGTTAGCTGCCTCCGCTGAGGCAGGCAGCGAAATCTTCTCAGTCTTCAAAAAGAAAAGAAAAAAGAAAAAAGGATTATGGAAAAATGCTCGATTTTACTTCCCTCCCCTTTTAAAAAATAAAATAAGCCCAGAGCCTTGGTTCAAAGCAGGAACAGTTTTTTTCCCTGTTAAAAAGAACCTGGAAAAAAAGCCGATGAGGACTAGCTTCAAATCAATCAATTTAAAATACAGAATAACAGAGTTGAGTTTTAGTATTTTAGTATTTATTTGATTTGTCAATCGCTTACAAGATACAGGTATAAGAATAAATATAGTTTTGAATGCAGGGGTTGGACTAGAAGATCTCCAAGGTCCCTTCCAACTCTATTATCCTATCCTATCCTATCCTATCCTATCCTTTCCTATCCTATCCTATCCTATCCTATCCTAATGCTCTTCTATTTTATTGTATTCTTTCATAATTTTATTGTATTCTTTCATAATTCTATTTCTATTACTATTCTGGCTTTGTGCCCAATGCTGTACTAGAATTCACGGACACCCTGTTTCTAGGCTGACGCCTTTAACCAGGATACTAAACTAGCTCTGGAAGGGGCTAACTACAAACCAGGTTAGGAAACTAGCATTGGGCAACTCAATTCCACACACAAACACATTAGTTCCGCCAATGTTGATGCAGAAAGAAGGCAAACGAGAATAACCATGGCTTGGAGGAAGTATTCTCATGCATAAAGAACATTTTGGCATAAATAATGTGAACAATTTAAAAATTAAAAATGTTGGGTCTATCTAGGAAGAAGTGGGGGAGGTAGAACTGGGGTTGTAATTTCCCCCTTAAATCTAGAGACCAACTGGGAATTGGCAAGAAATGATAAAATTAACAACGGACATTAAATATTAAAAAAAGGGATGATCAAAGCAAACAATTATGAAACATGGGAGGATTTTTATAAAAACAGTGTTAGTGGAAGGCAAAGGGAATAAACCTACTCAAGGATATATGTTGTTCTGGAGGGGATTGGGGCACAATTGGAATATATGGTATATCTTTTAATTGTTATAGAAGAAGAAATATAAAGGGAAAAATGGGGGTGGAGGTGCACTGTAATATTTGTATTTGTGTGTGTGTGTGTGTGTGTGTGTGTATACTTAAGAATATATATATATATATTCTTAAGCCCCCACCCAATCAAGTCACACCCCCACTAGCAGTTAAAAGGCAGAAGCAGCTGCAAGCTCACATTACTCCGAGAAGCACAAAGCCGAAGACACAAGCCTGAAGATGACAAATGAGATTTCGTCGAAGGCAAGCTGGCTCGGACTTCACAGAGTTAATTCTTTGGAACGGATAATGTCCTTGGCATTCCAACACGCTCTGCCTGCCAAGTCCGAACTGATAACAAGTAAAAAGCGACTCACCGAAAATTACAAGGCAGACCACAAAAACCATTCACAGAGAAAACCTGAAGTAAGATTAAACTCTGTCCCGTACGAAGCTCCAGCCGACAACACACCCACTTTTATCCCCTGTGGGGTGTGGCTCAATGACTCAGCTCACTCTCTGACCCTCCCACGCCTCCTACGTTGCAGCTCACGTTTCTTCCTACGACGCTGCCGAGGATCAAGCCAACATTCGTCCACTTGGCTCCCTGTCAGGGGCTGCTCCGATATGCATTCCTCCTGATTAATCTCAGGCTGTTCCTCTCGGTTGTCTGATGGAACCTGAGGCATTATCAGGGAGGAAGGTCCTGGGGAGGAAGGCATTCCCAGTTCCTCCTCCTCATCTTCCGAGTCCTCTTCCTCTGACAGCGCAGGCTCGGCAATCGGAGCCATAACACATACATATACGTATACGTATACATATATATATATATGTATGGTATTCAGCTTTGTTGGGGTATTTTCCCACGTCATTATAGTTGTGCTTTTAAAGTTGTAGCAA